CAATCCACACACTGTACATAAAGGTCCTACGCACATATATATATATACATATACATCTGCAACATGTGTATGTATATATATATATACGCATACATGTATTTATCTCTTGTGTGGGGAGGGGCGAGAGAGTGAAATACGTGGGAAGAGGGATGTGCTGCGGATGCAAAACTACAACACAGAGTATTCATACACATTAAGTATATGCATCTGGACATAGATCAATGTATATGCAGGTGTACATCTCCATCGTACTGTACTGCCGCAACCAACCCTAAACCCTAAACCCTCAGCATTGTTTCTCCACAAACTGTAAACCCTAAACCGAAAAAACCTAACCCCGCAACCCTCATAAAAGAAGTTCCAAAAGCCCTAAACCCTCAGTAGAGTATCCACAAACTGTAAGCCCTAAACCGAAAACACTAAGCCCGAAACACTCATTATAGGAGTTCCAGAAACCGAGGCTAAACCCTCAGTATAGTATCTCCACAAACTGTACACCCTATACCGAAAAAGACTAACCCCGAACCCTCACCACTTACACTCATGCAAAGATAGGCCGGCATACAGAGGCAAAAAAGGGCGGAAAGTCTCGCAGTCCTGCTGCAGTTTAAGAACATCCACAATTCGAACGCATAAGGTGGCTGAGAGCCAGAACGGTTCGAGCCGCCAAGGAAGCTTCCAGTTCCTGGACCTCGGCTTCCACATGCACACGATGCGATGCACATGCTTCATGCGACCCCAACAAATCCCACATCTAGCGCAACCAAGGATGCAACCTTGCGCATTCACCCCTTCTTCGAAAAATATCTGCATTTGTCAATAATGGTCTGCTGACCACGTCCTCGATGCAAGAACGCCGGTGGTGAACTTTGGGGGCCCCACCGACAGGACCCGGCCTGGGCGCTGTAAGCTGCTGTTTGGCTCACTGAGCGTGCCCTTTGCGTGGATTTGCTCTCTCTCTCTCTCTCTCTCTTCCGGGCATGGGGGACTTGTCAGGTCCCCCAGGCTTCGAGCCCTCTCTTTCTCTCTTTCTCGCTCGCCGTCGTTCTGCCACGCATGAAGTCTGTCTCTCCACATCCTCAATCTGCTTGTCACTCTCCGCGCGGCCTTGTTGGGGACCCGAAACCAGTTGCCAACGCCGGGCAACGGCGGGATAGGGAGAGCCTGCCCGGCTCCTTGGCGGGAAACCTTCCCGCTTCCCTCAGCTCTGTTGTCTCCATGCGCGTCGAAGTTTTGGCAGGCAAAATGCCGGACCTAGGTCGATTATAAACATACATTCTGTACCCTGGGCCTGCCAAATCTTCCCATAATAAACCATGTGGTACGTCTTGTGAACATGCCATTCCGATGCAAGCAAAAAGGTGATCAGCTCATTCTAGATTTGTTCGACACGCACCGGAGTCATCGCAAAACGGATGCACAATGGTGCGACCTAGACTGTGGACTGCAGCCACTAGAGCCTGTGCGTGCTGTACCTAACATTTCCGTTCGACTGAGTCCGAAAGCTTTCTCTACAACCCACAGAATAAATCATTCAACATGTCAAAAACAATTTCATTTCTTTCAAAGCATTCCAGGCTCACAGGCATTCACTTCTTGCGTTTGGCATTCATGCGTCACGGGTGTGGACACGTGGCCGGCCGCGCTTGCGCCAGGCGTGCGCGACGCGCGAGCACTGCTTGGCAGAGAGGAGAGCCGGCGCCGGGGCCTGCTCTGGCCGGGGAGGGCGGGGAGGGCGGGGAGGCGCCGGCCGGCGCCGGTCCCCCCGCGCTCCCCAGCCGGACGCCTTCTTCCTGCACTTTGCGCCAAAGACTGCCAAAGGTGACGCAGGCCTCGTCCTGCGGCTGCGCTGCAGTCCCGCAAGGCACACCGAGAGTGTCATTCTTACACGAGGGTGCACAACAGTTTGCCAACACCGATCGACGGAGTGCTCCTCAGCACTCAAGCAAAGTCTTCGCAGTCGTAGCAGCACGTGTGCTGTGTCAACAAACTCTGCTACAGCATTCTAAAGCTTCCAATGGCATGCATGCTGGACGCAAACATCAAGTGAGCTGTGCTCTCTCAGTGCTGCGTCTCGGCACACGCCGTGCGCTGCCCAAGGGCCCGCGCAGGGTAGCATGTTTCAGCGTCTCTCTCCCCCTCTCTCGTTAGCATCGGTTCTGGGCAGCCGCGCCCATACTCGCGCCCGCGACTGCTGCACTCGGCGACGAGGCCTCTACAAGACGTCACAAAACGGCGGGGCTGAAGCCGTCCTATGGGCCTCTCGGAGGATCCTCTGCTCGTCTGCGCCGTGGTAGAAAGCACACTGCGGCCCGCGTGGGCATTGCCCGGTCGCTGCCCAGTCAGTGCACGGCATCCTGGCAGCTGGGACTCACCGCCCAAGGCCGCCCAAGGCCTGCTCACAGTCTCTGCTTGCAAGGCCGGGTCACGTCTTGTAATAGGAAGGATGGTAGAGTTGCTCCTGAGATGTTTGTCAACGTGCGTCCTTGCGTTAGTTCCTCACCAAATACCGATTTCCGTGCCTTCGAGCCGTGAGCAAAGCCGCACCGCAGGCCTCTAGGGCATCGCCTCAAGAACAGCCGCGTGGGTAGAGTTTGGGCAGCTTCGACTATAGTGTCAGGTGCAGGCTCATTGTACGGAAGACGCTCCCCAACATGCTTCGCCCACCTTTGCGACATCGGATTTTAGACGTCGCACAGATGCTGGCATGGTGAAGCCAAAGCGGCTCCGTGCAGGGTTCACTGCTGTATCCGAGTTCAGGTCGTCGGCGCCAATCCTTCAACAAAAAAGCCATGCCCTGCAAGCCGCCTACGCTGCTATGCGCTCTGAAGGGGCCCAGTCTGCCCTAGCACGAGCTCTGGGCCTGATCGGTGTGGGCCTCGGTCGAAGGGAACCAGCCGGGATCAACAGACCAAGAATGCCTCTTCAGCTCCAAAGCAGCCTTGGGATGCGACGTAGAGGCCTAGGTTGTCACGAGGACATTCGCCAGTCGATGCGAGTCGCAAGGACTGAGTGCCTCGCACTCATGCCAGCTGTGTTGGGTACCATAGGGGCACCACAGCCTGAAAACAGCTCACAGGCAGGCGCTGGGGGCCGTCAGTTGGCCGTAGAGGGCCCTGGGGTTTTGACGTCTTGAAGCGGCGTGTGAAGAAGTCCACTGCTCGGAGTTGCATCTCTGGAGACCGGGAGTCCTCTCTAACGGCGGCACGGCGAATGCTGCAAAACTTCTTGCCTGTCCTCGGGTACACTCAACCATTCTGCCATGAGCTCCTCCTGCGCATTGGTGGGTCTTCATGACCCCAGCACTTACTCGACGTTTTCGAAACGAGGCCTCTTCAAGCTTTAGCAGCTCCACGCGAACCTGGGGAGCTACAATTGCGCGGGTTTCAACAATCACTGCGTACCAGAAACCCGCCTCCTCTCGGTGGTGTGCAAACGCGCACAGGTCCCCCCTCTGGCACGAGGACACCTGCTGCCGATTCCCCACCAGCAAGAAGCCAGCTGAAAGATTGACCAACAGGCCTTCGGGAAAGTTGCACAAACGCGCTTCTTGAACACACTGTCCTGACAGTTCAGGAAGACTGCTACCACACAGGTGGTGCTGCGACCTCTGAGATACCGGCATGGTAGAGCAGCTCCAAACGGTTGTGGCACAGGCCGCAGTCGTCCCCAAGCGAGCAACTGCCGGAATACGCACTCACATGTTCCCACATGTTCCCACTGCGTGACAGCTCTTACCTTGGACGGGTGTCGGCCTGCTCGCACCTTCGCGAGAATCCGAATCGAAACACCTCGGTCTGCAAGCTTGCACAAACATCCACAAGCATCACACGCCTCCACAAATAATGCAGCATCTCTTTTCTGACCACTCCGTTTTCAGGGTGCAGCATCACAAAAAAACCAGGCGTGAAAATACATTTGCCTTGCCAGCCATCAAGGCGAAATGATGAACATCAAGAACAAAGCTCAGCCGCAATTGTAGTGTGAGTTACGACATGCGCTGTGATTTACACATCACCAAACATCAAAAAAGCTGCACGCCCACAGTCCCCCAGACTCGAAAACGGGGAACCAATGATAGTAGCAGAGGCACCAAAGGCACTGAAGAATTCAGGTTTCCTATCTTCGCAAGCACCCATTAAGCATGTTTTTGCCGTCAAGCATCTGTTATCTTGATGTTTGTCAGCTTTTCTGTTGATGCCTGTGCCCCTGTTTGAGACCCTTCCGAACGGAGGCTTTGCTCTTTCTCTTTTTCTCTTTCTGCGCCAAGTGGCTCTGGGCAGGGCTCGGGTCGGTAGCCGCAGGCGGGGGGCCGGCGTCGGTCGCGTGGGTTGTGGTAGAAGGCACAGAGCTTGCGATCGTGGACGCCTCAACGGCTTCGCAGAGGCACAGTGCCCCCCTTTTTGTTGGGACTTGACCCGGCCTCTGCCTTTGCGACAGGGGAAGACCTGCAGTGCGGGCCGGCTCCCGGCCGCTTCTCTGCTTCAGCCCCGCTTCTCCCCGGCACCTTGAAGGTCTTCAAATCCACAGCTTCCAGACCTCATGGGTCCATGTGGCAGAGACTCTCCGCTGCAAGGGCGACGTCTCAGACTGCGGCTGCGGGCAGTCGCGCTCGTCGCGCCCGAACCCGAAGCACCCAAAGAGCGAGGGCCCCCGGAGAGGCCCTCGTCGCTCTCCTTCAACTCCTTGGGCTCCTCCTGCTCCTTCGACTCCTTCGACTCCTTTGGCCTCTCTGCAGCCATCCCGTGGGAGTAGCGAGCCACAGCTTTGCTTCGCAGCTCCTTCAGCCAAGTCAGAAACCCCCGGCCAGTGACAAAACGCAGCGAGTCTCCTTCTCCGAATGCGCAAAGCAGCAAGTCGCCTTCTGGCAATCTCCACCTGCACCGTGGAGCCGATACGGTGCAACGACTTCAAGACGACGAGCAAGCACACGCAAGAATGCGGAAGCTGCGGCGTTAGCCTTGCCCAAACCCGCCAAGGCGCCGTTGCAGAGTCGAGTCTTGTACTTCGCCGGGTGATAGGAGATCTCGCCTTTGGAGTGGGCGAAGATGCATCGCTCACCCAAATGGCACCTGGCAGGGCTCGGCGGCGGCTCGGCTCGAAGTTTCTTCCCTCGCTGCGCGCTGCGCGCTGCTCTCCGAGCTTGGCGCTTGTTGGGCTGGGAGATCCACTTGCAGGGAAGCCTCGGAGCAGAAGGAGAGAGTAGGAGGAGAAACACACGGACACAAAGAGAAAGTGTGAGAAGAGGCCGAAGGCTCTGCACATCGCTGATCCCGCGCGAAGCGCTGAGGCCGAGCCGCTCCCAGTAGCAAAGCTTCCCGTCCAGGCCCAGGACGCCACGCCGGCGCTGGCCCTGCCAAGCGCGAGAGCGCGTGCGCTGAGCGCAGGGGCGCTTTCCCGCGCGGGTCTCGTCCAGCTTTCAGTAAAGTTCGACCATCATGATTTTGTCAAGCCTTCCGATGTGCTTTCTTTGTGGGGGGAAGGCGGCGAGGGCTCAACTCAGGAGATGCGGTACCGTGGCAAACGCGAGTGTCTGCTTTGATCTTGACTGGACCGTCCTCAAACATCATGGAGGAAGGGCTTTGGAATCGTGGCTCTGCTAGCCCAAGATTTGTACGGGAAGCCCTCTACTGGTTGTCGACACTTAAACTGTCGAACTTTCAGACCCTTACTCGTGGGGCTGGAGCTGGGGCTCTAGCAGCTCGAGAGCCTTATGACATGGACATAAGACATGCGGGAATATCTTGCTGCTCTGGTCGCTGGTTGCAGACTTGAACAATCTGAGAAGCTGCGGCAACATTACGAAACCGACCAGCCTCGAAATGGAAGTGAAAGCACCTGTGTAGTCACAAGATGCCTGTCGATTGCTTGAGACATGCCGAGCGAGCCACTGCATCGGCTTGTGAAGCTCGCAATGTCCAGCCTAAAAAGGCTGCTCAGAAGCTTGCATCGCTTGAGGGCACCCCGGTTCAGCCTGGAAGTCCGGGCATTTCGAAGTTCTGCAATACCTGGACGGGTCTCTCCGGGTGCGCGCCAAAAACCCCCCTCGCGCGCTCCGCTCCGTGCGCCTAATGAACCGCTCCAAATCGCCGTGCTCCGGCTCCGGCTGCCAGCTTGGCAGGGCTGGACCTAATATTCCCGATGACGCATCTGCTGGCCTCATCCTCTCTGCTTCTGTGGCGCTGGCCCTGGCCCTCTCTTTTGTCCTCCTCCTCGTCCTTCTTCTCAAAGCTTCGGGGCATCCTTTCGACAGCCCCCCCCCCCCCCGAGATCCCGAAGCTGAGCGAAGCAGAGAAAAGAGCCTCCCGCTCCGGGTCTGCCGGAAGCAGCCGGCTGGGGCGCCCCATGGACCGAGGCGTCGCGGCGGTCCGTGGCAGCAAAAAAAGGCCCTTTCTGTAGAACAGCGCTTCTACTGTGGGCTCTCTTCGAATTTGTTAGCCTCGAGCCCAAGCCATGGCACGTCGCTGCATGCAACAGCTGAAACTCACGAAAGGTGGCGAAACAGCCGGACCCGAAGTCTCGAAGAGCCACGGGTGAGATCCTGTGCTGAACTTTCAGTCTTCTCTTCTGTCTCCCGCTCCTGGCACCCTGCAAACGCATCAAGTCTTCTCCTCCAGCTGTATTCCTGCTGAGGAAGCGGTTGGTTGAAATCGGTGATCATCACCTGCCAGACGTGGACTCATCAGTCGGAACGGGACATGCTTCAGATAGGGATGAACCCGAAATTCAGGCGTTGAGGCGTGACTTATTGTTGGCGGCTCAGCGCAAGCGATTTCCTCACACAATGTTAAATCAGCCGCGTAGATGAACAGTACACGGGAACGACGAGCATGGCCTTTCACGACTGCATTCAAATTCATTGCGGTCCAAAATTAACCGCCAAGGCGGCTGGCATGCAGGCTTTGCCACCCGAGAAAGGTCGCTCTGTCTGGAGCCCTTGCCGCCCTTGCCGCCAATTTTGCTTCCCGAAAGCAGACCTTGCTCGAAGCATCGGAGAGGGCCCAAGTTGGATTTTTGTTGGCCGCTCTGTGTAGCTCTCTGCTCCTGGGCCCGGCCAACCGGTGCCACGCGGCTTTCAATCTCGGGTTCGCGCGAGCCGCGAAAGATTCAAGGCGGAACGTCGACGCTTGGAGTGCACGGCTCTAGTGGAGAACCTGAGATACAGAGAGACTCGCGACTTGGGCATTTTCACCCCTTGCATCACCTCGCGGGGCTTCGAAGGCACGAAGTACTGCTCCCGGAGGAACCTGCCACTGCCCCGTGCAGGAACTGAGCTCCCTTGCCCTTCGACTGAGCTGCGAGTGGCTCTTTCTTGCTCCAGGCCGCAATTCACTGCAGTCTGTTCGCAAAGCCAGGTCGGTTGGCCCGACTTGCAACTCAGAGCATCAGCAAATGAGCGGATGTTCTGAGAGGCTCGTGAACTAAGCGAGTCGAGCTAGTCGCCTCAGTGCACTCGCTGCGAGAAATGGCGGATCAGATCGTCCCCCTGCTCGTCGTCCTCCTCGGGCGCCGGGGTCGCCATGGCCTCGCAGCGACAACGACAGCGACAAGGGGCCTTAAAAGCAGAGCCCCCCTCCCTCCCTAAGACCCCCGCCTCGGGTGTGCTGGGGGCGCCCTGGGAGGTGGTGCGAAGCCTCGGCTCGCAAGGCGAGGCGGGAGCGGGAGCGTGTCTGTCGGGCCCCAGGCGGCGTGGGCTGCTCCATGAACTCGGCAGAGCTCTCGGCGAAGGCCGGCACGGCCTTCGCCGCACGAAAGCCGACAGCCAAGCAGTCCCGCGAGCAGTCCCGCCCCCAAACCCCCCACCTGTGCCTGCCGGGTTCCGGCATCTTCCTCTTCTCTGGATGCACTGCAGGGCGTTGCTAAGAGGACATCGACAGAGCGCGCTTCTGACAGGCTGACAGATGACAAGCGGCCTTGGGTTGTAGGTTTCATCTCGCCAGTCGAAAGATTGTGGCGCGGGCGAGAACGAGCTCTTGGCCTCTGCAATGACGACCTCCAAGAGCAGAAGTGGCAGTCGAGGGCTGGCGGGTCTTCCGAGCCTCTCCGCTGACTGAGGGTCCTGCGCTCTTCAAGGCTTCCAACTCCTCCCGGCGCCTTTGCTCCTCGAGCGGCAAGAACAGTCGGCCTGCGGCGCCGCGGCACCTCTGACAGACATGTTCCCGACGTCCTGCAGTGTCTCCGGCGCCAAGGACCTCGAGTCCATTCGGACCAAGTCCTCTCAGGAAGCAAATACCACTGTCCATACTGTAGTTCACGACGGGTTCAAGACTTTTTGGCAAACTCATGTCACTTTCCTCTTTGGGTTTTGGGGCATTCGTTCAACATCCATTGCTGGGGTTCGTGGGTGTGGCCCGCTCGCTTCGTTGGAGCAGCTATGACCAAACCGAAGTATGCGTTCCGTACAGCAACAGTCCCGGACAAGTTACAGAGAGAAGCCACGCTGCCTCACGGTGTGACTCTGTGCTAGTCGTGTCCTGTGCACCGATTTCCCCCGTCAGGATTCGTCCTGGCCCGCGACTCTTCTCGCAGGCGCTCGGCTGCGGCTGCTCGGCCGAGTCTCCGACTTCTGAGAGCGCCGTTCTCGGGCTGAATCATGTTGTGACCTCAGCCGGCGGAAGCCGAAAGACACCGGCGGAAGCCGGTTTGGGGCGGAGTGCTTTGAGGTCTGGACGGAGCATCCTGGCGTGCTGCCGGTAGTCGCTGCTGGCGCCTGCGTAGAGGGCGTAGAGCGCCGCCTCGATCTCCGAGGCCACGGTCGCATGCGACCTCGGCAGTGCCACGGCAGGGCGCCCTCCGGCCGAAGAGCGCATGCAGGCGCAGGCAGGTTCCAGTTAGGCGCGGCACCCAGCACCGTCTTCCAGACCCTGCCAGATCACAACCCCTCGCAGATCCAAGCTTCGAATCTCAGTACACTGCATGCACTGCCTGTCGGATCAGCTCCAGCACCTTCACCTTGGCGTTTGTGCACCCAGTGGCAGTCTGCTCATCTGCGAGTATGTGCCGCTTTGCTCACCCGCAAGGCTTTGTTGGCGGGAGTATCCTGCACCGCTGGCTTGGGTTGTTGGCGCCACCTCCTCCGAAAAGCGTCGCCGCTTGGCATGCTTCACTTCGTCTCATTGTTGCAAACTGTTCGCTCCACACAATTGCAGCACTCGCGGTCGTCCTGGACAAGGACTGCGTCGGGGCGCGCAGCTCAGCCGCCAAAGCCGTCCTCTCCTGGCTGCACCAACCTGGGTCACACGCAATTCTTGCATCCTTAAACCTTAGGCTTCTCCGCCCTTCCGTTATAGGGCACTCTAGGACAGAGGCGGTGTAGTCGGTCGAAGGCTTTGCCGAGGATCTGCCGATGCTCCCACCTGGGCAGCATCAGCAGCGACGCAGCTTCTTTGAAGTGTTTTGCGTTGTGCTTTGTAGTGCTCGGCCAGGCACATCGTGGCGCGGCCAACAGCGAGGGCATTCAAGCAGCTGAGGCCTCAGAAAGCAGCCGTAAGCACAGACGACATGATGACGAAAGAGCGCCGGTTCGCCGCTGAGCCAAAGGCTTGCCACAGTTCGCAGCCCCGCCTGAAATACAAACGGCCGGAGTCATCGTGGCAGACTACATCCATTGAACGCACAAGCACAACCTGCAACAGCCCGTCCAAGTTTGCATTCCTGACACATGAAACCGCCTCCATGCAACAAGCCACACATTACATAAAGCGTACCATCTCTGGTGAGGGCCCGCAGGTCACAGAAATCCAGGCTTGACCAGGAATCGGGGAGCTACACCCACGTGGAGAAAGTGAAGCAGCAAAAGGAAAGGCCCAGTTTTGCAAGACGAAGATACAGAAATCCACCCCTCATTGAATCTGATCTCCGTTGCTTTTGCATGTCCATTTCTCGTTGATCCCGCGTAAATCGGCCTTCTGCTGTCGAGCTCTCGTCATAAGACAAGCATCGAACCGGCTCATGATCGCAAGGACCGATGACCGAGGTCGCTCAAAATCGGAAGCACAAACATCAAGCACGGCGGCTTCTGTACGTGCAGTGCAACGTTCATGCGCTCCGCAGCCTGCGTTGAAACATAACAGGCCGAAGAATAAAGTTATGCTGTGACTGGTGGTTTCCGTGCTTTTTGCACGCCCAATCGTGCATTTATGCTGCTGGCACCAGCAGTCTCTGTGGGAAGCGGTTTTTTGGTGTCTCCATTACAATAGCATACTTAGCTGACCTAGCTGTCACAAAAGTTCTCCGAGCTTTCTTGTCGAAATTGTTGAGGTTGCTGGTGTTGAAGGTTTTTTGGGTTTGGTGCGTCTTTTGGAAGCATTGTCTTGAAGGAGACGTACTCGCACTAATACGAATAGTAGCCGCATAGTGGCAGCATTAGCAGTAATAATAATGAAATGTGTGAAGCCGGCTAATCCTGTCGAAAAAAGCGAACAACAGCCCACTGTTTTCGGCTGTGCGAGTTCACACTCCGTCCAGTTCCCTAGGCAAGGCCGCGTCGCGCGGTCCGACCGTTGGCCTGCAACTCTATGAGCTACACTGGCCAACACAGCACTTGGCACACCTAGTCACAAGGCAGTTGTGACAGCATGATGACATGTGTGGCAGCTCACATTCGCCCCTCAGCCGAGGCTCCAGGTGCCACAGGCCGATGGCCGGCATCAGGAGCAATGTTGCCGCGAGGGGTGCGCACGCGCGTCGTACAGCGGCTTGGGCGAAGCCCGCACATTATACGACCGGACGACGAAACACACGCACACAACCAACCCTCCTAAACCTCCGGAACCCGCTCAGGTCCTTCGTTTTGGCACCTCGGCGGTGAGGCTCCCGTAGGAGCTGTACTGAGGTCTGCTGTTAGAGCTGCTCACAGAGCAGTGTACAGCCAAGCTACGGTTCACACTATGTACAACCTAGCACTCCTACTGGCTAAGGTGGCTACAGTGTGGCCAAGGCCGTGGGTCGGGGCACGGCCGCGACTTAAAGTCCGCATGCCGGCTGCTAAGGAAGCAGCACACAGGTGCGGCCGGCACGGCGCTCTGAGACCAGCTTGAAACACACCAGCCGTGCAAAACTGCCGCAGGCCGCTCTGGTCTCGGCATGCAGACTGAGACAGTCCAACCCATGACACTGTCTGGGCCAGCGGATGACACATAAAGGTGTCGCATGACCTCACTGCCAACGTCAGCCTATCGGAGAGAGGGGGGTTGCAGTTTGTGCGGGCCTCGGCTTTGTACTAGCGCAGAGCTTGTCAACATGTTGAAGGTGCGAAGGGATAGCCCTCCGGATAGGTTACGTTGATCTCGTACCTGCGCCAAAGGGTCCCGCGCCTTCTCGCCACCAGTCGAGGCAAGCCAATGTGATTGCAAATTGACGAAAACGCCTTCCTGTCGAATGAGCTCAAGATCCGGAAGTTGGTTCCGGGTAAGAAGTGTCACCTGGTAGTGGTTACCAGCTACTAGGAAGTCGGTCATCCACAAAGGCCAAGGTGATACCTGGTGTACCGGCAGAACAAAGGGCTGCAGAGCGTGCTGCTCGATGTAATCGTGCAAAAAATGCGTGCTGCTCAGCCATAAAGTATGATTCCTGTCCCTGGCGACGCTGTTGTGGCCGGCAACCCACAGCGGTAATTTCCCGCACCAAAAAACAGTGACGGGTTGTGACCCAGTGGCCAAAGCAGGCTGAGGCTCTTGGCCCGCCACTAAGCCCACGTTGAGGCGCAGTGTAGATCCTGAGACAAGTAACTTCCGTTGGGGAACTCTTTGTGGCGACAGGAGCTTGATGGGCTTGGTTCCAAAGGCCAAGCCATCCACCAGCAACAATTGACGACTCAGCCAGATGTCGTCTAGATCAAGAAACAAGCCGCCTCCGTGATAGATGGCCAAAAATGGCAGTCTTTCAGAAGACAGAGATGCAATCCGGCGGAGACCAGAACTGAAGAAAGGTCGCAATCTAATAGGAGACCAGCGTTGCAGATTGCCAGGCCAAGTATACTGCAAGCGAGGCAACAGAGCCCACGTCGAAGGTTCACAATCGCTGTGGGTGTGGACTAATGCAACGCAGGGATTGCATGGCGGTAGGTGAGACCGCAAACCCTCCGCGGTGCCACCAGAATCTGTGCACCACTGCGGGTAGCATCGGCGCCGAGGTGCGAGGGAACACTATCACGCGAGGCGAAGCTCGAGGACAGAGGCCGACGGCAAACAAGACAAAACAAAAAACAAAACGCAAAGAAAGGGAGACAGGGAAAGCAAGCACAGGAAAGAAGTGGAAGGAGGAGGACCAAAGGAGAGAGGAGGGCAGAGAGAAGAAAGGAGGAGAAGAAGACAGATCAAGTCAAAGGAAGAGCAGAAGCAGACGTGCCGGCACTGCCGCCCCTCGGACCAACCTTTGGCACACTAGGTCAGGTGCTCGTCGAGCGTGGTAACGGCGCCCAAAGCCGAAGACCACTGCCGTTAGTGCCGCCCCTGGGGTCCTGCCTAGCAAAAACAACCAAAGGAGGAGCCATCCAAGGGCCCAGGGGAGAAGGGCTAAATATATAAATACGAGCAAAACAATTTCTATAAATATCCAAAACCAACGACTGTGATAAAAGCGGGTTTTCTGAACTCATTGACGCAAGTAGTCGTGGTGCTACTTCATATTTAGACTGTTTAAAATCATATTCTTTAACATTTACAGCATTAACTATTGGTGTTAGCATGAAAAACAACTACAAAGTTCTTTATTTCAATAAATGACTCTCGGCAGAGCCTTGCGAGGCTTCGCAACAGGGCATTTATGCTGCTGTGTTCCCTAAACTTCAGAAGCAAGTGCTATAGTTCGTTTGTTTTTGTGAAGAAAACCTAAGTAGCAAGTTAAAAACCATATTATTAATATTTTTCTGAGCATTAATAATATGCCTGAGGTTGTCACTCAAGTCTTCAAACTTTAAAAAGAAAGTTGATGCAATACTGGATGGTAAGAAAATATCATTCGGGGTAAAGGTTATAGCGATTTTACACAACATAAGAACGAAGAAAGAAAAGAAAAATATGCAAGACATCAAGGAAATTAAGATTGGAAAGATTATGAAACGGCTGCTATGTAGGCTAAGACTATATTATGGAACAAGCCTACAATAGAAAGGAAACTGTCAAAAGATTGAAAAATCTGACCATTGAGAATAATATATATATATATAGAACTGTTTAATAAAAATTTTGTGTGGAGGCGTATTTTCTTGATATACAAATATGAGTAAGGCGGACGAATTGGATGAAACGGCCTATGCTAATACTTTGGATATATTGAAGAAGCTGCTAGAGGATATGAATGCAAAGATTGATAATATAGAAAAGAACACTAAGCCAAGATATACAAAACCTAATATTGACAAAGATGCCACATATGATAATAGGAATAACGTTCATTTGGCAAAATTAAAAAAACAGAGAAATATTGCAACCTAAACAGACCACATTAGATTACTACAAAGTAGAATATAATCAAAAAGGTAAGCTACTTTATAGTAAACAACGAAGAGTGAAATAGAGTTATATAAAAAAATCAACACAATGATAGATTTGATGAAGTGTAAAACGGGTGGCACGTATTTATCTCCATATGCTGTTGAACTTCGAAAATATTTCCTTTCTAGTTCTTGTAAGTTCTGTAGACGACAACAACAAATTAGAGCCCAAATACTAAAGGATTTGTTGTATGTTAATAATCATTATAAATTATTCATTTATTGAATAATGACCACAAGGCAAACTGCGTATTTTATCATACCAATACCGCTTATTACAGAATGAGCTCAAGGCTTGTTGAATTTGATTTATTGAATATAGTTGGTGATTTTCACTTCTTATACTACTGAATGAAACCGTATCATGTTTGTTACGTTCAAGTGTTTCTAAATATTTCTCCTAGTTGAATTCTCGATTTACTTCTTGCTTTGGAACGCCTTCAATTTTCTTCCCCTCTTTTTCTTGGCTTTAAACTTTAAAAGCATAACCTTTAGGTTTTCGTCCGAGAATGTGAAAATCATCGTATATATCTTCTGTTTCAGTGTGTGTAACAAAACTATCTGTGTCAGTGTCTACTAAGCGTATTTTAGCCTTGCATTTCTTTTCCAAAACATCATAGTAGAACGAATACATATGTAGTTTTGAATGGTCGAAAATACTCATGCCAACAAATATAGGCTCGTTGTGTTTTAGTGTTCCTTCCAATTCTTCTACGCCTACTTAATTTTCACTCATAATGTGTCTGTGCTTATAAGTAGGAGCATTTAGAACCTTTTGAAATATTTCTGGAGTATCAACTGATTCAAGATTAATGTGCTCTCTTACATTTCCCATTGTTTTTCGCGTACACACCATTATTCAAGAGTTTGTAAAGGCTTTTATCAAAATCACGTGTTGCCTCCTTTCCTTTATTGGTGTTAAAATCAATCCATGGTTTTAGCCATTCCTCTCGCTTCAACATGGTAATTCTGTTTCTAAAACTAACCCTTTTGCTGAAAAATGTTTACATCTTAATATGTAATACATTATTATGTTTGTCATATACACTTAGTAGTATTTTGGTAATTTTTCGTCTTTTGGTTCTTTGATATGATAGTATGCTTTGTACATTTCTCTTGATTTTTCACTCAACATACTTGCCTCAACATTCATAATTTCAGGTGCTAGAGGGTAGTCAAGGTGGTAGTCATGTAATTCTTCTGGATACTCTAAGTCAACGTCTTATATATATCCAATATTTGCATCTCCATGACGTAATATTATCTTCTGCGAAGCCTTCAATACATTCAATATATCTTTGTAAGGTAGTTCTTGTCACATTGTTAAGCCGTATAAGCTATTAGCGTCTAAATAATTAACTTATGTCTGATGAAGGTTTTGTATCATCATGTAAATGACCCATGTCTTTGTTATTTGCTTCAACACGTTTAATAGAAGATTGGCACATGCCACCGCGTAAACCCTTTTCAACCTTTTTTATATACATCGTCACCATATATTAAATCAAGTGTTATACCAGTTTTCAATAACATAGCATCCCAAGCAAAATTAGGAAGTTGAAAAGGCCTTAGAGCTCCAGAGGGGCCTGCCTAGCCATCACGGAAGGGCTCACGAACCCCTTCTGTTTTAGCACCAAAGCATGTGTTCGCTTGCAAGGTATGTTATGCAAGATCTTTGTCCAAGGACGGGCGTTTGCACCAGTACTGCAATGCGAAAACCTGCAAACACTGTAAGCCTGCACACTTCACATATCAATGCACTCGGCTTTCCGCAACATCAACACTCCTCCTTGCCTTCTCCCCTCGGGATTTAGGCATCTTTACATTGGAGCATGCGGAAGCCTCCTCCGAGGGGTCATCTTCTGACGCCTGCGATCGGCCGGGCCAACACAGCCGGCATACATGTGTAAACTCGTGGCCCTCAGGCCTAGCGACGAAATCGCGGCTGTTAAGGAAGGCCCGGTGGCGGCCCATCCAACAGCCATCAGCGCCTGCCTTGTGCAGTCTAAAGATCACGCCAGGCAGCTCCACTACGACATAGTTAGCTTGCCTATCGAGCACCCGAGCCTGCGTAGAAACAGGCTGCTCGGGCCCATCCTAGCGGTAGCTCCTCTGACAGCGGGGTAGCGGGCACAGGGTCGGGGACTCCATCCAGCGTCGCCGCAGGCCCTGTGCAGTGAGTTCGGCCTGCACACGCGATAATAGCCTCGGCCACGGCACCCCTTAGCGTCGTGACCAGGCGGCCCTCCACGGCTGGAATGATAGCCTGTAGGTGGGACCAGCGGAACGACCCCCAAACCTTGACGAGTTTGGCCCATACCCTCCAGCCCCGCAGCGTGACCCGGGTCCAGCACCAGTTCCTCCAGGCGTGCCAGCAAGTAGAACGGACAGCGGGGCGCCCGCTTAAAAAGACGGGCCCCCTCGGACAGGATCTCGGAGATCTTGTCCTTAGCGGCCCAAGCCAGGCGACCATGGGTAGCGCGCTGTTCCTCCGGGAACTCCGCGACCTTTTCTCGAAGGAGATAGCTTGAGGATAGCGTCCGGGACAGAGCGACCACACGGCTCGTCTCGGCCCGGTGGATAGCACAACTTAGCCTCAGCGAGTCAAAGTCTCCACTGGCGGCGGTAGCAGCTGAGGCAGTGCTTAAGTGTCGAGGCACGGGTCTTCCCGACCAGTAGCAGCGCCGCACGGTCCGGGTCAAGACTCCCCTTTAGCGTGGCCAAGACCGGGGCGTCTATCTGT